ATCCTGAGACTATGGACCCAGGTCCTAATCTGGAGAAATGTTGCTAGTTTGTGAAAATAGTGACCAGTTGTTTGAAATGCCATGTCTTAAGAATAGACTTTACATGTTTTACAGGAATTGTTTTCTCTTATTCCTCCTCCTCCTTCTTTTTCTTTAGCAGTAGTTATAACAATGAACTGATTTAGCCTCATTTTACAGTGAGTGAGCTATCTTAGAGGCATATGTGATTTGCTGAAATCTGTAAGCAATTGTAGTGTTTTCTCCATAATTCTTGTCTATCTAACTTAAGAGGACAACTCAGTATTTGCCACAGTTCTGGCATCTCATTAATCTGTATTTTTCCCACCTTTAGAATGAGCAGGTTGACCTGAGCTCTGTTGTAGTGTCCAGTGCTGAGACAGTAGCTTTAAGATGACTTGTCTTGGCAAACTGGAGAGACAAGCACACATCACTGAAGGTAGAGATGCCGTGATGACAGGATGATCAGGTTCTAGAGGATTAGTCCACAATTCAGTGCACTTCACATTCCAGACGGCATTTGATGTTTCCAGTAGCTGTTCAGAAGGCTTTTGAGTAACATGAATCCAATACCAAATTTAATATGAACATTAATTTGTGTTTGCAGTGAAGTTTATTTTCTAGGAAGATACTGTACAGATTTGGATGATGACGCAATTAAGTCATTATGTCTTTGGCCATGGACTTCGGTGCAAAAAATCTACAACTTTGTGCCTGTATTTCTGGCGCAAGTGATTGCTACACATCGTAAACTACCCTTATATTCATTGGGCAATGATGATTTTCAACTTAAAGTAGGGCAAAGTTGGCATGCCACAGGACGAAGCGTTGTACAACTGGAGTCCAGTAGCAATCCCCGCATTGGGAGCTTTTGTTCATTAATTGCGGCACTGTATACTGTGTCCTCAAAATTCTTGCTCTTAAGTTGTTTCTCAAAATTAAGGGTGGATATTGGATTTGGTGTGTTTCTCAACACACAAACAGATATTTATATATGACCTTGAGGAAATCGAAGTGGATGGTTGGACTTAGGAGCTATCACAAACACTAACTGGAGGAAGATTTCATCAATCCTCATGCCTGAAATCCACAGAATAGGCGTTTCCAACACCCTCCATTATCTAGTTAAAACACTCAAGTCTTACGGGTCTGTGTGCCTCTGCTCATACCTCTGCAGAGGCATTTACTACTGTTTTTCTATCCGCAAAGCATACACTATTTAATGAAAACAGTACTTCTATACTTCTGCCATCCCTATGAAGATTTCCCCCTCATCCATGACCTGCAGCACATATCGAATCTCGGACTTCACTTGGATCTTTCAGTTTAATCCCACAACAATCTTAGTATTTTCACGATAATATGCCAATTTTATAGTTTAAGAAGAAATCGAGACACAGATTATTAACAAATAGTGAGGTTTAACTGTAGAATTGTTTTATTATTGATCTGCAACCAAAACAGATTACAGACAGGGTGAGGAGTGCTACATCAGTGATTTTTTAAAAATGTTTTTTCTTTTTATTTATTTATTTTTTATTGCATTTCATTTTATGACATTGTTTCACAGGCTCTTGTATTCCCCCAACCCCTCCCCGTACTCTCCCCATGGTGGAGTACCACCTTATTGCAGTATTACAGTTCAAATCCAGTCATGCTTCTTTCATTGCAAGCATGTACCATGCATAGAGTCCAGTATCTTATTGTCCAGATAAATTCAACAGTTTCTTAGGGAGACCATCTCTAGTTGAAAAGCAGAGCTGGCAGAATATCATTCTGATGAATTAAAAGCCACAACATAACATCAACAACGGTTTACAACATTATGGAGTTAATTGACATGGTATTGAGTGACTAGTATGTTAGAAAACGCAAGTTCTTAACCACATCCTGTGACTACTTCATTGACATTTCATTTTTAGTTTATATACAACCAGCTTCTATCCACCTTAAAATGGCTATAGGGTACTATTCAGCTGTCTCATGTCTATTTTCATGTTTGTATTTAGCAGTTTATTGTATTGAAGCATAATTTTTACTGAACTTGGCAGATTTTAGGATAGTCTAAACTGGCTTATAACTCTAACAAGGCATATGTCAGCAGTTGAGGTGCAGAACAGTTTTAGGAGGGGCATGCAGAGAAATCAATACCTTAGTGAAGAGTAACTAAACATTCGTGTCCTACCTAGGAAGGTATATGTGAGTCCCCACTGACTGTTTCCTGTCTGGTTCTAAGCTTTCCTTGTTGTTCAATGTCTATCTATTCTATTTTTTTCTTTTTGTTTTTTTGTTTTGTTTCATTTTATTTTTGGCGGGGGGCGGGGGGAGGATGGCTCTAGGGCTACCCTGATGGTCATTGCAGGAGAGGGTGAGGCTCCAAAGTTGGAACTAAGTAAGGACCAGAGAAAGCTCCTCTTCCTAGTCCCGAAGGGGGTTTGCTGCTCTTCTCTTTCTGCAGACTACTCAGGACTCCTGGCTGTTGTTCCAGTGGCATTGGATCCTGCCAGGAAGTATTCGGGCTTTTTCCATCCCATGTGGGAGATTCAAATGGGAGTGGATGACTTCAGAGTTCTCGGCCTCCAAAGGCACTCCAATTCCCCTTGGCCTCCTTGGCAGTTGGGATGTAGCCCTTGGTGCCCGTACTGATAGTCCTTGGTGAGAATCTGGGAGTCTCCAGGGTTGGGATACAAGCCTCCTCCTATCCACCTGCTCCAATCTGTGCATATGACCTCCTGTTCAGAGGTTGTTAGGATTGCTCTTGATTCCCTCTGTATGTCTTTGTAGTTTTACTATTGTCTGATGCTGATTCGTGTCTGTTGTCTATAAGTTATCTGTTCCTGATAGGTTATACTTCACGTCTTCCTCACACATTCTAGGGAGGTGGAAGATTTCTCTGCTCTCCCGCCCCATTACTGAGAAGCATAGGGTCTTAAAAATGCGTTAGGTTTTATAATTCTTTGATGTAGAGCATTAGCAGTCTGACTCACATTGATTGCTGGTTCATTGATTACATCATAATATCTTATTGTATGTGATACAGGCTGTTAGAGGTTGAAATAATATTCTAATTTACAGGTACTATTTTTCAGATTGACATCATTTCATCTTAAATTAAGGCAAACATATGGTATCTAACCTTTTGGGATTGGCTCATTTCCCTTAGCATAATGGTTTCCAGTTGGGCCCATTTGGCCACAAAGAACTGCATTTTTTAAATAGCTGAGTAGTATTCCATGGAGTTAATGAACCACAGTTTTCTTATCCACTCTTCTGTTGATGGGCATTTCCATGGATAAGAATGACTTCTATCTTAAGCCCGTGAAACTCCCATCTTTTCACAAGCTAAGCTTGAGCTCCACTCTTCACCTGAGATGCTCCTGCTGATAACAGCATTTGCTCCATTTCAATAGTTTATTTGGATTTTATCTTCATATTCAGCAGCTTCCTTAAAGGTGATTAGACCTTCCCAGCCCATCCTTGTGAGGGTGGGAGAAGATGCAGCTAACCTGCTATCTGTCCCCGAAGGAGAATACCCAGAAGATGGAGTTGAGGTGAGTTGACGCTGGTGCTAACCTGTGGTCCATGTGTATATGGTTGGGGATCATGTGGCTGGAGAGCAGATGGCACAACACAGAGGGAGCACTTTTTTGGTGAATGATGGCATCCAAGAGGCAGACTCACCTTGAAGATACACAACACCAGGACTTCAGATGATGGGGAGTACCAATGCCTTTTTGAAAATCTTGATGTCTACTAGGAGGTTAGCCTGGATCTGAAGGTGGTAGGTAATATTTCAGGCATGTGTTCTGGGTTCAGCATCTCTTTCTGACATGTTACATGCTAACTCTTGGAATGGACCCTCCAGCACCTAACATTTTCTTAATGCCCATTGACCATTAAATGTATATTGACCCCTTTACTGCTCCAGAACTCTCACAGACACTTAAAAACCTGGAAACTCAAGTGGACCAAAGGTCAGTTCTTTAGGTGTAGTATCTGCACCTTTCTCAGTCTGTCCATATAGTGACTATATATTCAGGGCCACCTGAGAATGTCACACCATGACTTTACACAGGACTCATGATTTCTCAGTGTGGTGCTAAATTTCTGGGAAGTGTGTGATTAATAGGAAATGCAATAATTTGAAGACTAAAGTAGATATATCATGTAAACAAACATGAATATTGACAGTAATGCCTGAGGTCAAGAAAGAAATAGGAAACCACTGCTTGCATCATGATTTCCATTCTTGTATTTATGAGAATTGATTTTTTTCCAAGGATATTAAGTGCCATTGAAATCATGGGCCAAAATCTTAGATGCCCACACAGGTTTCTGCCACACATTTTAAGTCTAAATTAAGCACATTTAATAAGTATCCATAAAAGCACATATTGAGAATTCCGTGAGCTCAATTTTTTTTTTTTTTGCCATCTAACACAGGTATTTTAAAGAACCTGATCTTTGAGAATTTTCTTATCATAATTTATCCTATCCATGTGTTCCATGTCCTAGTCCATGTCATCCATGTCCCAACTATTTTGTTCTCAGGGACAGAAGGAAAAGTTTGGACATGAAATTGTGCCTTTATTTATCAATCTGTCTCCATATCATTCAGGAATTACAAACAACAAAAGCAAGAAAGTAGCAACAATTCTCGAGCTGATTTCAACTCTGAGTGGAGTAGATTGCCTCTTAAGCACTGCTGTCTTTTTGTACCTTCTAATCCCCCTTTCCCTACAGTGAAGTCATAGGCCTAACCGCTGAACTGGCCATAGATTCCAGGCCTAGGTTCCCTGGTCCCCATTCTCCAGGTGTGGGAAACTCCCCACTGGTCACTGCAGAAGAGCCAAAGCAAGGAGTAGTGCAGCAGAATATGGTTTCATAATGCTGTTTTGGTTATAACCACATTGCCAGCAGATGTCAAACATATATTGATGAATCTAACAAACCAACAAATACATACCACCATCACGTATGCTTCACAGTGCACCTTTATCAATTCTTTCTTTCTCCTTTTCATCCTTGGTCTCCCTCATTTTCTTTTCTTGCTTTTTGTACCAAGCAAAAAGCACAGCAGCAGCACTCAGCAAAATCAGAGTATTGATGAAAGTCATAACAAATGTTGCCATCCAAGGGGAGGTCCTAGGGACAAAGGGCTCTGACACAGAGTCCTCACACGTGAGCGAAAGCAGGCACCAGACAAGCCATTCCATCCCACATTCCAACACTCTCTCTTTACTCTCCTCCTGCCCCTCCCCACCCCAACCCCATGTAAGCAACACTTTACCTGGGACAGATACTGTGGCCACTTGCTCCTGTAGAAGGAAGTGGTTCTTCATGCAGCAGGACACTTTTCCCTTTGTTCTGTCTCTCACAATGAGGAACATCTCTATCTGGAACAACCCGTCATCACCTTGGGTCTTGTTCTCAGACACAGATGCAATCTTCTCTCCACTTTCATCCTTCCATTGTACTTCAGGCTGGGGAAACCACCCCTTGCCAGTGCACGACAGCCTTGTGCCTTCATCTTCTGGACCCACAATGACGATGCGAGGACCAGAACCAAGACCTGGGGGGGCGGGGGGAGAAGCCATTCATTTGAAACCGTGATGCTTTTTGTCCAGAAATCCCTAAATTACACAATAGCTCTAATGTGAGGAGATGGAGGAAGTACCTTGGGTGGGAGGAGAGGGCTTCCTGACAGAAATCAGTATCTGTGATTCGAAAATCAGAGCAGACATGAAGCTGTCACTAATACTGACAGTGAGGTCTGCCACAAACTCTGTACCCAGGTGTATCTGCAGTTAGGTCACAGAAGGTAACAGAAGTCAACCAAAATTTGTCAGACTCCACTCCTACATTTCCATAACTTTATTTGTATTTTTCTATTCAATTCATTAGTCTTAAGGAAAATTATTTCAGCCTGAAAAGAGATTCCCTTTAACAATAATTTTTGGTTATTTTTCCCAGAATTTGTTTATTTTCCTGGGTAGAGATTACAAAATGAATGGAGCCAGATGAGGTAAGTCTCTGAAGGATTAAAGTTGTTTCTCATTTTTTTTAACCCTTTACTTCTTCCTTTTTGTGTCTAGCACATAACTTTTTCTTCAGCTTCTTTCATGCTGAATTGACAAACAGAATAACCCACTATGTCATCTAGAAAGTGACTATCCTGATTTCTGAGATTATGTATCATATCAAATCATATGGCATGTCTAGCTCAGTTCTTCAAATCTCTGATGGGGGGAACACATTAAGGATTTTAGATAAATTATAGTCTTGGTGCTGAAAATTACAACCCAGTTAATGTTATCATCTGACTCTGACCGCTTAGGGCGTACAGCTTTTAAGGACACAAAGTAATCTGAGAAATAATCCACCATAATTATGGATCATAACTACCCAAGGGAGCTGCCAATTCTGTTAAACACATGAAGATTTGAGTGAAATTGATCTTGAGCACACACTGGGAAGTAAGAGCACAAAGACCAAACACACCTTGAACCTAAGTAAGAACCTAAGCATACAGTCCTTGAACCTCCTGCAAAAATGCAACCGTTGAAGTTCCAAGTCAAAGTAAGAAGACACCTGTTTTGATAAAAATCAGACCTTGAACTTCCTGGAAAAAATACAACAGTTGAAGTTTCAAGTTGAAGTAAGAAGTTAAGAAGAGCAATATAAACCAAGCATGAGAATGTGAAATTCAAAAACGCATGTGGTATGATAAAACCACCACCATGGTGCTATCATGTCATATGAACCCTGATGTGAATCAGCACTGACCCCTTCTGACCCAGCACCCTGCACACGTGCCTAATAGGGCAGTGGAAGATGGTCCAAGTACTTGGGTATCTGTCACCCACCTGGAAAATCCAGGTGGATTTATGGGTGCCTGCCCTCAACCTGGTCCAGTCGTAGATATTGCACCCCTTTGGGAGGTGAAACAGAAGATGGAAGACCTCTATCTCTCCCTGTCTCTGTAATATATATACATATATTTGTAAATTTTTAAAAGGAGGGGAGAAGAGGAGAAGTAGGGATTTTTCAACCATTGTTTCATTCTCCACATGTCTACAACAGCCTAGGCTGGACCAAGCTTAAACCAAGAGTCAGGAATTCTATCCAGGTTTCTTCAGTGTGTGGCAGAGATAAAATAATTGAGCCATCATCCATTGCCAAGTTCCAGAATTAGCAGAAAGCTGAACTAGAAGCAGAGCCAGCACTTTGATATGTGATGTGGAGGTCTCAAATGGCGGTTTAATCTACGACACATAAGGCCAACCCTTGAAGTGACTCAATTTTAAGATAGAGATGCTAAATATGCAAACAGATCAAGACTTGTCTGTATTTGCAGATAATTACTTACTTATGACCTTGAGCTCCAAAGTGGCTTTACCAGAGTTGTCATCTTGTTTAAAGAAACACTTGTACATCCCATTGTCTGAGACCCGGAGCCTGCGGATTCTCACAGCCACTCTCCCCTGTGGGTTCTGATCCTTCAGCAGCTCTACTCGTCCTTTGTAATCCACTAGCTGCTCTTGCGCCTGCTCCATCCCATCCTGATACACATACACAACCTCTGTGTATTGGGTGCGGAACCATCGCAGTTCCACATTCTTCATATCCACGGTTGCGGTCACATAACAGGGCAGCAGAGCTTCTGTGCCCAGCATAGCCACAATGGGTTCTGAGGGGCCACTCACTTCAAAAGAATCTGCAGAATCAACAGAGTTAAATGTGAAGAGAACGTCAGAATGACTGCTAGGGAGGGTGCTTTAGAACACAGTCCCAGGTAGAGCCCTACAGCCTTCATTCACCAGGTGTTCACACACATTGAGCTGTGGATGTGGTAGGTAGCAAGGCAAAGAAGGCTCTTCTTGTGAGGAGCTTACAAACACCAGGACACATGTGAAGCAAGTGATTTCTAACTTGCAGTATGGATGGAAAATCCCCAAACTAGAGCTTTTGGAAAATGCATGCATTATGAAGCAGAGAACGGAATGAACAAATTCTACCCGGTTCTTCTGATTTATTTGCCCTGATGCACAAGCGAATAACCCACTCTACCAAATTAGAAGATTTTAGAATTAATGCAAGTTTATATGAGAAGTGATGTGATTCAACCCTTCTATTCAGAAAACAAGATAATTTAGTTATAAAATAATTAAAATATTCCTACCTGAGCCCCACATGGGCACCTGGAGCAGCAGGATAGAGAAGAGTGTTGTGGGCAGGGAACGCATCATGGTTCCCAGTCAGGGAGCAGGATAATATGGAAGCAGGTCCTGCACATAAACGGAGCAAAAAGGAGAGTGGGCTTCACTGGGTCTTATGGTTGTGGCTAAGGTGGTCCACAGGTTTCTAAGAAATGGTCTCCTGGGCCCAGCACAGTAGCTTATGCTACTGTGATCCCATTTGGATGCTGGTTTGTATCTCAGGTGCTCCACTTCCCATCCAACTTCCTGCTTGTGGCCTGGGAAGACAGTCAAGGACGGCACAAAGCCTCGAGACCCTGCACCCATGAGGGAGACCTAGAAGAAGCTCCTGGCCTTATATTGGTTCAGCTTGGGCCATTGCAGACACTTGGGGAGTGCGGCAGCACAGGAAAGATCTTTCTCTCTGTATCTCCTCTCTGTAAATCTGACTTTCCAATAAAAATTAATAATAATAATAAAAAAGAAATGGCCTCCTGGATCTCAGAAACCTGCCAGGAAATATGAATAAGCCTTTGACACACACAAAATGTTTTCTAATTCTCTTACAGGGAACAGTCCTCATAACAGTAGCCACCTAGTAAGGCTGTTGTCAAGAACACTTTGTCCCTTGGATAGGGAGAGAAAGGAGACAAGAACAGCCTGGAAGGAAATGGCTTTAGAAAAATGTTACTCTGGGCTCCATGAACTGTCTTCTCCCTCATCCTCACGTAGTGGTGAAGCCACTGAAAATCAGCCTGCCCTCTACCACCCTCCAGGATCCTGACCCAGGTTCTCTCTATCCTCTTGTTTTTGCCCATCACACAGAGAGGAATTCTGTAGTACTCACTTCATTGAAGTTCCTCTTGGAGAGATGAAGGCATCCTGGTACTTGTCTCCTTCACTACCTGTAGGCACCGGGGAGAGTTGCTCGCTGGCATTTTCCCCTCTTCCTTCTTGGGGTGCTTATGGAGCTTTCCTGTACTTCCTGCTCTAAGCTGTGACAGGGAACTGTGGCTGCAGTGGGGAATTTGGGAAGTTTTAAAAGGAATGTAAAAACAGGAAGCAAGAAATCTCCCATATAGAAGCACCTGCAGCAATGAGCTTCTCATGGCCACCTTGCCAAACTCAATCCTGAAATTCAAATAAAGCAAGATAAGAGGACTTTATCCAGTCATTAAACACACCTTTTAAGATTACATACTTAAAAAATAGAGTAAGTGGGTTGGGCACCTGAATGGGATTTACTGCTCCAACAGCTGCTTTTGGCTGGTGTGTGTGTGTGTAGGAGGGGCGTGATGCCTAGCTCTCGAGCCAGAAACTCACAAGATTAGCTGCTTAACAGCAGCCAACACCATCTTGGTTTGGGCTTGGTGTCCGAACAGAACTTGCCACTCCACTACCTGCTTTTTGCTGATGGGGAGTGGAGTGAATGCACCTAGCTAGGAACTCACAGCACTGGCTGCTTAATGATGGTTGGCACCATCTTGGTTTAGGCGGGGAAAGCACCAATGGTGCCTGGTGAAGTCTGCTGGCCCCCAGGGAGCAAGCTCTGGATCCTTGGGGTTGACAAATTACTGCCTAGGGTCATCCATGGATGAGGCCACTGTACATGTAGTTGAGGCATGACTTGTGAAGGACACCCAATGACAGGGCCACTGTATGGCAAATAAATGAGGAGACTGAGACCTGGTGCTTTGGAAAGGAGAGACCAGAAGACAAGTATAGGTCAGACAGATGCACCAGCCCACTTGATAGTCCTGAGTTGGACCTGTTAGCATGGAACATTGCTGACCACCGCACCAGTCCACTTGAAAGCTAGGGCTGAAGGTTTGTCTGGCAGGGCTAGATCCCAGTACCTGACTGAGTGTCAGAGCAGAAGAAGGGTCACATTAGGCAGGGCCATGACACTCACCAGCATGAGAGAGAAACAGGTCCGGAGGTAGATTTTTTGTGGGATACATGAGCCCAACCCTGCAGAAATACAAGTTCCATTGGTTAACTTAAGAGGTCAGGTGGTCCTGAGGAGCTACAATCTCCATTGGCATGTCCAAGAACTGTGGATGGAAACATTCAAGATGAAGGAATAGGGTAAGGACATGTTTAAACAGATGGAGAAACATTAACCAGTGTGAAACAAAGAGGGCACATTCCAAGAAATGAGAAGACAGAACAATAGCAGAGAGATACATAGAGAATGACACACACAGGAAAGCAGCAGAGAAATTGATGTATTGTTTCAGTGACCAATGCCACAGTGGAATTTCAGCAAATGATGATCGGAACTGCACCAGCAGCTGGAACTCCACCAGCAACCAGGTGGGAAGGGACTTTCACTGAGAGCTTAGGATGTGAACTCAGACAAAGAACTGCCAGTGTTGCTTTTGATTTTACCAGGAGGAGAACGGAGCAGCAGGTCCCAGATGGGCATTAGGGAACAGGGTGGATTTCACAGCTCAGTCCACCTCCCACAACCAAATCTGGCACCATTTAAGTAAAGATGCAAGGGTTATGGGACAGTACTGTGCATGCACTGAGCTGGGAGAGAATTCATTTCTGACTCAGTGAACTGCAACAATGTGGCCTCCTACTGTTTCCACCCAAGACAGGTCCGGGAAGCTCTCAGATCTGATGGCCAAGAGATCAAGAACTCATAGTGGCGCATCAGGCACCATTTTGTACAGTGTGGAAAAACTTTAAGCCTGCAGGGACAACAGTGAGCTGCCCATGTGCCTAGCTGGGTGTGAAAACATTGAGCTCAGTGCATTGCACTTGTCCCACAGAAAATAATACCAACTATGGCATTGTACAGGTTAAAATAGGTCTTTGTGGTTCTCAGACCTAATGGCCAACAGGTTCAAGATCAGCACCACCAACAACCTAGCTAAATAGAATGCTTGGTGTTTTCCTAATCCTGAGAACTGCTCCAACCAGAAGTGGGAAAAAGGTTGTACAGATAACAGTGCAGCCTCAGTACAGTATCACAGGAAGTAGAGAGTGGTGAGCCAGGTGCTGGGGCCACAGAGTCCATGGTAGAAGTCTAACATAAGAACCCAGACCTAGAACTTGCTGGAGGGAGTGGCACAACTGACTGCAAACAAAGAGTTATGTACAAAATGCAATAAGTAAAATCAAACTGTGGACCTGTGGCTGACACAGCTGCAAAACTTGTCCCAAGGAGAAGAATCTGTTAACCCAAAGTACAATGACTAAGAGCAAAAGAAGAGACAAAGGCACAATGAATATTACTGAAGACTCCGCTGCAAAAAAGCAAAGGCCTTTGCCAACCTCAGAGTTAACTGAGAAAGACATCGAGAAAATGGGGGATACTGAATTCAAAACACTTGTTATAAAACTTCTTATCAACAAAAAGAAGCACATAATGCAGGAGGAGTTCAAGGAATTTCAGGAATACGTCACACAGGAAATGAATCAAGTGAAAGCACATATATCAGAAAGTAAGAATGCAGTGGAGCAAATTAAAAGTACAGTGGAGAAGAATCTCCAAAATAGAATGGATGGGGCCTGGTGTGATAATGTAGCAGTTAAAGTCCTTGCCTCGAACATGCTGGGATCTCACATGGGCTCCGGTTCTAACCCCGGCGGCCCTTCTTCCCATCCAGCTCCCTGCTTGTGGCCTGGGAAAGCAGTCAAACATGGCCCAAAGCCTTGGGACCCTGCACCCATGTGGGAGACCTAGAAGAGGTTCCTGGCTTCGGATTGGCTCAGCTCCAGCCATTCGGCCACTTGGGGAGTGAACCATTGGACAAAAGATCTTCCTCTCTGTCTCTCCTCTTCTCTGTATATCTGCCTTTCTAATAAAAATAAATAAATCTTTAAAAAATGAATGAAGCAGAAGAAAGAATCTCAGAATTGGAGAATATTTTTTTCTGTCAACAGGAGGAAACAAACAATAAAAAGTTGAAAGCAAAGCTGGGTCAAGCTAAAAAAAGCATTCAATAATTGAAAGACACTATTTATAGGAATTATGGTTGTTCATGAAGGTATAGAAAGAGAACCTGGGATTAAAGGAGTTTTCAATGAAATAATAAGGGAAAATTTCCCTAATCTAGAAAAGGAATTGGGAAACAACATCCAGGATGGGTACAGAGCTCTCAACAGGGCTGACAAAAGCAATCTTCACCACGACACATGATAATCAAGCTCTCTTCAATCGGACATAAGGAAAAGATCCTTAAATGTGCACCGGAAAAAAATCAATTGACATATAAAGGAATGATAATTAAATTCACAGGAGACCTCTCACAGGAAATTCTACAGCGCAGAAGAGAATGGAGTGACATGTTCCAGATTCTAAAAGAAAAAAATTGTCAGGCCAAGATAAAGTACCCAGCAAAGTTTTCCTTTGCTTTTGAAACTGAAATAACATTCTTTCACAGTAAAGTTAAAAGAATATGCCTCTTCCAAATCTGCCCTAGAAAGGACACTTAAAAATGTTCTCTTGACAGAGAAAAGGAATAGCACCCACCCAAACCAAAGGCAAATGTGAAGATCCCAATAAAATGACAACAGAAGACTAAATCAATGAACAACCCATTGCTAAAATGACAGGCCCAAATTACCACCCATTCATATTAACCCTGAATGTAAATGGCTTAAACTCATCAATCAAGCATCTTAGATTAGTATACTGGATTTTAAAAAAACAAAACCCATCTCTTCATTGCCTACGGGAGACATATGTCACCAAGAAAGTGGTAACTATATCTCCTGAATTTTGATTTTTTAAAAATTTAGTTTCAACTCTTCAAACACTTTCTTATTAAATTCTTCATTGACTCATAGATTGTACAGTAACATTATTTCCTCAAGAAAAATTTTGATTCTCTTTTTCATTTCTTCAGTGATGCATTAGTCATTCAGTAGGATGTTGTTTAACCTTATGGTGTTGTTAATTTCTCTTTTTTCTTGTTGTTAATTTTGTATTGTGGTTTCTCATTCAGGGGGATGCATAGTAACTGTGTAGTGGAGACTACCATACCCAGGAGCATGTTATTTAACTTCATGGTTTTTGTAAA